ATGAAGAACTGAAGGTAATAAAAAAGCCAGGAAAAAAAAAGTTTAACACCTTTTTTAATCTTGAACACCTATAAGATTTCAGAACGTGAACATAAACCACATGAAAACAAAAAGTAATAAAGGAAGATACAAAGGTGCAAAGGAGAATAACAAGGTATTCGATCAACTCTTTTACTACATTTACCAAAAGTGCCCTAAGCACAATGAAAAGTAAAAGAACAACTGTGACAACACAAAAAATTGGCAAAGGGTATGAATATATATATGTATTTTTTAATGGAAATCAAACGGCTAATAAACACTGGGGAAAAAAAGTGGTTAGTCTCACTGATAATTTAAGAAATGCACCTAGGCAGGATTTGATGATTTCCATGGGTCTATTGCTTTATGGAAGGAGCTCTGGTGGTGCAACAGTTAAGTGCTCAGCTACTAACTGATAGGTTGGCGGTTCAAACCCTTTCAGCAGCCCCATGGAAGCTAGACATGGTGCTCTGCTGTCATATAGATTATAGCCTAGAAACCCCTATGGGGCAGTTCTACTCACATGGGGTCTCCATGAGTTGGGATATGCTTGAAGGCAAACAACAATTGATGCATGACTTATCTTGTTAATCTTTTCAATAACTCAGAAAAGTAGTTGGGAACAAATAATGAAAATAAGACTCAGAGAAATATAACAGCATCCTGTTGATTTCCAAGACTCATATGTTCCTGTGAGGCCAAACTTTTTCTTAGAAGAGTTGACATTTTTGGAGTAAGTTTTTAATGCTAGAAGTGACTGTGAATTTAACAAGGACTATGAAGTGGATGGTGTAAAGGTCCCTACATTTACAAAGGATGCTAAACATTTACAAAGGACTAAGGAGTAGAGAGGAGCTCTGGTGGTGTAAGGAGGCCTGGTGGCGTAGTGCCTAAGACACTTGACTGCTAACCAGGAGGCTGGCGGTTCAAACCCACCAGCCACTCCTCAGAAGGAAGGCTTGGCAATGTACTTCCATAGAGATACCGCTTTGGAAACCCAAGGAGGGGTTGCTATGAGTCAGATCTGACTTGACAGCAATGAGTTTGGTTTGGGTTTGGTTTGAGGAGTGGAGAGTGACAAAGGTCCCCAAACCCCAGCTGATGGATGGAGTGGACAGTGCAAAGGTCCCCACCCCCAGGTGATGGTAAACATTTCAAAGGAACTAACAAGAGCTGTTCAAACGATCACATGTAGGTGCTGTGATGTTTTAACAGCTAAAAACAAGAAATAGCGATGAAAGTGTGACTCATAAAACAGCATGCCCCGTATCAAATTAATCATGAGAACCAGCTACGTTACATTCTTTGAAATGGTAAATTTTCCATCTCTGAAGCTCGGTATTCTCAGTGGTCCTGGAGAATCTCTGAGGAGCTCTTTGGACGGCTCAAAGAATATTTCAAAGTACTACTGATTGCTCCCCAGCCTGCCCAGCAGGGAGCCAGGGAGTTATGTTGTCATTATGACACAAGTGTTGCCAAAGGACTCCCCCCTGGGGACACGTGGCCACTCTTTTTTTTTTTTTTTTTTTTAAGTAATCTCTTTAACATTTGGGAATTATAAACTCCTTTCTTCACTTAATGATACTGCTTTTCTTTAAGCTTTTTCAAACATAACTTGAAACATCTCTTGAAGTGGAAGAGAACAGTATGCTACTGATGAAGCATTTCTGGGACTGTGCTTTTCAATATGGTAGCTGTTAGTCACATGTGACTACATAGTACTCGAATGTGGCTAGAACAAATTGAGACATGTTGTAAGTGGAAAGCAAACACCAAAAAACTCACAGCCATCAAGGCAATTCCAAGTGGCAATGACCCTACAGGACAGACGAGAATGCCTCTGTAGGGTTTCCAAGACTGTAATCTTTATGGAAACACACTGCCACATCTTTCTCCCCGTGGAGTAGCTAGTGGATTAGAACCACTGACCTCTTGGTTAGCAGCCAACTGCTTATTCACTGCACCACCAGGGCTCCTTGAAACAAACACCAGATTTCAAAAACTTAGTATGAAACAAAAGAATGTAAAATATCTCATCGGCAATTTTTTTTAATGAAGATTACATGTTCTAATGATAATATTCTGGCTATGGTGAGCTGAATAAAATATACTCTTAAAATTATCACGTTTCTTTTTAATTCTTTATTTTAGCTACTAGAAAATTTAAAATACCCAAGTGGCTCTTTTGATGCTCGCATTATATTTCTGGGGAGAAAAGCTGTTCCAGAGCATTGGACCACACCCTTCTCTGGAGAGGCCCATTGGAATTTCATACACTGTAGGACTCTGCAGAGGTGAAGAACATTGATTCTGAAGGTAAACCATCCTATATTTGAATCTTTGTTCTGCCGTTTGCTAGTTAATAACCTTGGGGAAGTTACTCAACTTCTTTGTGCCTTAGTTTCTTCATTTGTGAAACAGTGGTAATAATAGGGTTACAATGAGGATTAAATGAGATAATAATATATAAAGAGCTTAGGAGAGATTATCTCCACATTATTGTATTACCACAATTGTTATTACTCTTTGCTCCTTTTCCTAAAACCTGAGATGCGATGAGTTTGTATTTGAGTGCACTTTGTCTTTCTAGCACCCCCTGTACATCTGTGAGAGCTGTTTTCCAGAGCAGATTTATAGTCATCAGTCTACAATGATGACAGTATGAAAAGGACACTAATACCATATGAAACAGACATGGTGCTGACTTCCTAAGTCACACAGCACAGTGAACGATGGTGGTTCATTAGACTTAATGAACTTCAATATTCAAATCAAGTGAGAATGAGGATGAATAAATAGTTGTATCTGTGGTTGAAAAATCATTTATTACAAGAACTAATGGCTGACTTTTCTTAATTGTTAGAAACCTAAAAAAGGATGGAAGCCAGAAGCCCATCACAGCTGAACAAAGAGCGTTCTCCACGGCACCATATCTGGCTGCAGGCCCTGCCCTTTCAGCATCAGCCCAACTTTTCATTTTCAAGAAGTAAACATTAAACTTCCTCATAAATATTTTAAAAAAAAAATGTGATAAAGTACACCATGTGAATAAAATCACTCTTTATTGTATAAGAAGTCAACTATAGGTTTTACCTTAATACACCACGATTAGAAGAAAATACAAAGTGCTAAGTATGAGTGAATAATGTAACTGATGTATACAACCACCAAGTTGTAGACAAGAAAAAAGATGAATTGATCTATGCTATATTATATATAGGAGCTCTGGTGGTATAGTACCTAAGGCATTTGACTGCTAACCAGGAGGTTGGCGGTTCAAACCCATCAGCCACTCCTTGGAAGGAAGGTTGGGAAATCTACTTCTGTAGTCATGTTATATATAATTTTGCAACAATGACACATCGTTGTTGTTGTTATGTGCCGTTGAGTCGGCCCCGACTCATAGCGACCCCTCCTTGGGTTTCCGAGGCAGTATCACTACGGAAGTAGGATTGCCCAACCTTCTGTATATATATATACACACATATTTATCTAATATAAATATGTATACATAGTTATTTAATATATATGTGTGTATATATACATAATAAAACAAATAGTGGCTACACATGCCAATACTTCTGAGACATAATCAATCACCTCATGATATTACTTTTCTTGCTTGAAGACTTAGGGTAATAGTCTCATGAGATAACTGAGTCATTTGGCATAATATAGTTCATAAAGTTTATGTTTTACATCGTAATATAATGAGTAGTGTCTGAGGTCTTAAAAGCTTTCAAGATGCCATCTAAGATACAACTATTGGTCTCTATTCATCTGGAGCAAAAAAGAAAGAAAGAAAGAAATCCAAGAACCAGAAAAGGAACGGTTTGGTTCCTACAGGGCTAATTGTATGATGAACAACTGATTATTAATGAACCACAGCCTCCTGTCCCTTGAGACCAGAAGAACTAGATGGTGCCCAGCTACCACTATGACATGTTCTGATCAGAGTCACAATAAATGGATCTTAATAGAAATGGAGAAGCATGTGGAACACAACTTCAAATCCTCAAAGAATCCGGACCTACTGAACCCACTGAGACTGAAGGAATCCCCAAGACTATTGCCCTGGGATACTCTTTAAACCTTGAACCAAAATTATCCTCTGAAGTCACTTTTTAACCAAATAGCAGGTTAGCTCCAAAAGTAAAGACTATCATCCTTGAATGTTGTGCCCTTATCAAAAATCACCTATATGGACCAACTGAACAGCAGTGACCCTAAAACTTAGGTGAGAAGGTTGGGGGACAGTGAGACTAAGTTCCTGGGAGTAGAACGATGAGGATGGTGACAGGACGCAACATAACAAATGTCACTGAACGTTACGTGTAGATATTGTTGAATGGCACTTGTTTGCTCTGTATACATTCACAAAAAATTCAATAAAATACTTTAAATTTTCTTAAAAACACAATTTAATTAAGAGTGAAAAACTGTTTACTTTATAAAGTATGCATTAAGCTGGATATGAGAATTTAAATAAATCCAGTCCACCACTCATCATTCATACACTATTCTTACCAATAGGATGGAAGAATTCACTGTAAGTACATCTTCTCTTAAATGGTGGGGCTAGGGCAGCACCAGCCTGAGGCCACTCTCCTGTCCCCAATGTCCTTGCTCTGACATTTCAGACATTCCTAGGGCCAAACGTCTACACAAAATTTCACACAGACACATCTACTTCAGGCAATCATGCTCACTTGGACATAGTCCAAATCTCGAAGACAATGTAATTAGGAATTACCAAATTTTAAAACTAAGAATGATATACATTTATTGAAAAAGAAGAGAGCAAGAGAGAGAGAGTTCTTCTGTAAGTGCCTTAGGAAGTTTGCTAGACTAGTATGTCTAAGCTGGCATTTAACGGGACAGCCCTTGAGAAATCAACCATAGGACTCTGGTGCCAAGTTTCCCTACGTCCTCACTCCCACGAAGGCACTGAAACCAAGCCGTGGAGAATATGGCTTCACCTTGTTATCCTCCAGGTTGAGCACTTCCAGGAGGTCGTGATTTTCCAAGCCTTGCAGGCTGCTGATCTGATTGTGGGACAGGTCCAGAGTCTGCAGCGCTCCGAGCTCCTCCAGACCTGTGATCTTCTCGATCCGGTTACTGCTCTGAAATTGACAAGATAAACTTAACATCTTGCAGCCTCTCATAGGAAACATTGTGATGACAAGTTTTCATTTTGCATACTTCCCCAAATCTCTTAAAATCAGTAAGCCATTCTTGGTTTGTTTTCTTATTTTTTCTCCTCTGTTTCCAGCACTCACCTTCTTAAACACACACATATATATACCCCAGGAAAAAATCCCAGTCTTTCAGCTAGAAGACTAAGAATATAAGATTATCATTAAAGTGAAAGCAAGATGTGAGTTCAGATCAGTAGGAAAGACCAAAGCTAGGTCATATAAGCTTTCACTTTGCACACCTAAGGCCTAATAGCAGCGTAACTCCAGGTTTAGCCTTAGAAATATAAATATAACATCATTCTGTCACCACCATCACAATAAACCACTAGGATACTGTACTTTCCACATAGAGTTGTTTGCAGAAACATCCTAAAATACAGTCCCTTGTGTCATGAGTGCCGTGTTATAATGGTGGCTTCCAATGGATCGTGCCTCTAGGTATTTATGCTTTTGTCCAGTTCCTTCCTCTGGAATCTAGGTTGGACCTATGACTTGTCTTAGCCAAAAGAATATGGCGGAACTGTGCCAATTCTAACCTTAAGACTTAGGAAGGCCTGCCAGCTTCTGCTTTCATATCTTAGGACACTAAGCTGCCATGAGAGGACTCCAGCTACCAGTTGGAGAGGCCTTGTGGAAAGGTCACATGCAGAGAGGCCCCGAGACCAAATGGAGAACAAAAGTCAACCATCCCAGCATCTCAGCTGAACCCAGCCAATCTGCCAGTTAACTGAATGCAGCAAGCGCAAATGAAGAACCACCCAGCTGAGGCCAGCTCAGATTGCAGAATTGCTAGCAGTTAAGTCACTACATTTTGGGATGTCTTATTATGCAACAGTACATAACCAGACTTAATTTGTTCAATAACCCACACATGAGTATCTTCTCAGATAATGAGAATGAAACAAAGATTCACGCCTCACACAGTGTCTTCTTCTCCAACTCCTAACTAACTCACAACAACAACCAGCAGTGGTATCATTCACCTTTGCTTGTACACTTGCCAGCACTCTCATATTCTCTGGGTTCTTTAGTCTTGAGGTGTAAGGCCACATATTTAGTTGCAGCTGTGAATCATAATCAAGAGTCATTCTGAGGTTTCAGTTAATGCTGTGTAATGGCCATCCTTAGACTTTTAAAAGTTTTCATATACATTTAAGAACTGGAAAATTAAATTCTAATACTGTTCTTCTATCTGTAATATTTTTCCTGGTCTATTTAATAGCAAGAGCTCATTTTCACCTCATTTTTCATAAGATTTTACTAGCATAATGAGTCAGATTTATGTTCATTTGCAAAATTCTATGGCTCTTTAAAATCTATTAATATGATGTTGGTCATCTATAAAGCTGGGTGATAGTACGTGGTGGGGTTCATTAAGCTTATTCTCTCTCTCTCTCTCTCTCTCTCTCTCTCTCTCTATATATATATATATATATATATATGAAAAATTCCACTATGAAAAGGAAAATATATTCATAATACATTCATAACTCTGTTGGCCAAAGTTAAGCCAAATTTCCTATTGTTTAGAGTTCAAAAAAGTTATACAAAGTGTAGTAGAAAAGAGAAAGAAAAGACTACATTGAACTTAGCATAATGTCCATATTAATTTAACTTATTGAAATAAGACTTCAAAATCCTATTCAAAATATGCCCACATATCACTTTTATACACAATATGCTTCTTCTCAAAGAACTCTGAAGTGTTTTAGATGTGTTAGATAGGCTATGATTCTGTACAGTGTCGCTGTTGGCTCTCAGAGAGGTAGATAAGTATGAGTAGGGTGAGGCATAGAAAAGTTTAATTAAATAACCTCGGGTCATAAAAGAAATCCGAACAGAGCAGTATCTAGAACCATAGAATTTTTGAGTTGCCAGTCATCTAGGCAAACCCTTTGTCCAATGCTGAAAAGCTAATGCCTCTGTCCATGATGAGGCTATCCGCCTCTGCTTAAGCAGTTCTTCCTGCTTGCTTTATGATGACTGGGGAGAGGAAGACTTTCAGAGAGAACTATTTTCTTTAGTAAATGGAATTAGTACTATTGTTAACGTGCAGATTTGGGAGGAAAAAACCAAAGCACATTTTACCAAGACAAAACAAACTGTAAAGCTCGAGACTCGTTGTATTAGTTGCTAAGAACCTGGCTGTCAGAACAGCTCACAGACGGAACCACACTCCCCCCCATTTACAGCAGAAGTGATGCTACAGAATTAACAACGGTTTCTATGATAAATTTTTCTTTTGTCTCTAAATTGTAAAATAGTGACTAAGGTCATTGGTTTTCTAAATCAATGAATTTAAAAACTACAAGTATTTAATATGGCAGAAACAATTGTGTATCATTGTATTTTATAGATTTTATTAAACTTTGCAAAAGAAAACCCTTCTATTCTTAAAAATCTTAAAAGAAAATGAACGATGGCATCTGCTTAGGTTCTATCACATGCTGTGTGATGGGGTGGAGCTGGGAACCATTAAGAAGGTGATGCTCATTTGGACTGTTGCATGGAAAACGAATTTGCTCTGTAAATCTTCACCCAGATCACAATTACAAAGAAAGAAAGAAGACATTGAACAAGCAAGTGAGGAAGTAGACATGGGGAAGAGAGATGCTAAGCCACATGGAGATCTCCCAGGAGTAGAAGCTCCGAAGAGACGAGAAAGGACTTTCCCCCTGAGCCGACACAGACAGGAAGCCCTCCCCTGAACCTGGCACCCTGAAATGGACTTCTAGTCTCCTAAACTGTGAGGAGATGAAGTTCTGTTTGTTAAAGCCAATAAGTAAATTAATTAATAAAAGAACATGATGCTCATTCTAAAAGCTACTTAAGACAGAACCGTCAACATACAGTACTTCTCAAGTTACTGAAACAAACACTTAAATCTGCTGTATGTCAGTATTTGTAACAAGGAGGTCCATTTCCTCTCTCTGAAGCACACCTGCATAGTCCTTCCACACTTCACACTCCCTTGTTAGTTACAGGCGCACCACTGCAGGGGAGACCCATGAAGAAAGGGTACAGTTCTAACAAACTGCAGAGTGAGTACATGCTGCCAAGAATACTTCCCATTACTAGCCTTTCAAAATGCTACTTTCTTGTATGATTTCAAACTTTCCAATCACACTCATCAAATTCATTTTCATTTCTGCGTTCTCACATACTTTCTCACATACAGTAAACACAGAACCTCAGGGAAAGGATGAAACCTTTCCACGCCTCAGTTCCCTCTTCAGAACTAGGAGCCAGTACTCTACCCTCACCTCACCCATGGAAGGGTCTAGAAAAAGCACTTGAGCTAAAAGTTTGTGAAAAGCAAAATTAATGCATAGCCAGCCTTCACTTACCTGCAGTTAAATAAGGCAGGCATGAGGTATTCGTCAAAAATCTGCAGGCACCCAAAGATGTCATTTCAAACAAGTTTCAACCCCTTCCCATTGGACACTCAACTTAAGGAAGTACTAAGCTACAGGTCTCACATGGTGGTGCAAAGCTTAAGTCCTTAGCTGCCAGCCACACGGTTGGCAGCTGGAACCCACCCAGTGGTTCTGTGGGACAAGAACCTGGCAGTCTGCATCCATAAAGACCATAGCCTAGGAAACCTTGTGCAGCAGGGCTCTACTCTGTCACACAGGGTCGCTGTTAGTCAGAAGTGACTGGACGACACACCTCAACAACAACAAACCAGCAAGGACGTCAGCGGGAAGCAGGCAGTGGGGGAAGCAGAAAAAGACAGAATCCTGGGTCGTCCACAGACCATCACATCGGCCCCCAAATGAGTGAGCTATACTGTTATTTCCAAAATGCCGCATATGTCTTTGGGACTATTGTAACCCTGCTGACATTTTTTGCAAACAATCTGTATTTTCATTGTCAGCAGGTCACAGAGCTTGATAAAAAAGAGTGCTTGGCATGAGAAAGAAGAAACCAATGTAAACTTTCTGACTAGAATCGTTCACTTATTCTTAGCACCACTTCTGATTTTCTGCAATGTGAGACTAACATGTATCAATAGAAAAGGACTGCCAACTTTAGTGCCCAGAGAACAACTCATGGTTCCTTTGAAAGCAATAAAGTGTTAACTAGCAACGAATAAGAGGATTCAAGGTTATTTTCACCAATAAGACATTGCAAAATGCATTTTTCAATAACTGGCAAGATTATACCTCTCTTTCTCAGTATAAAAAGTCAATGTTTTTTAAAAAATTGACTTTGGATATCAAATTAGAAAATCATTGTAATTTAACATGAAGTGTTGATAACACACATGCAAAAAAACAGATACAGAAAGAAGCAAACAAAACTAAAGACAGTACCTTTTCATAAAGGAATTAACTCTTCATAAACTTAAAAAAATCCTAAGTAATCATAATTCATACATTTACTCAAATGTTAACTACTACTTCTATGAAGAATAACATTTTTGTTAGACTCACCAGATGAAGAATTTTGATGGGTAACGTGCTTAAGCCATCAATTGTCTTGATCTTGTTTTTGGCCAAACTAAGGTGAGTTAGGTTACTGCAGAGTTCCAGTCCTTTGATTTCTTCTATTTCATTGCCTATGTACCAGGACCGCGTTTAAGGAAAACATTACTAAAAGCATGTGGAAGAAAAAAAAAATCATTGCTAAACCATCATTAGAAGACTCAGAGAACAGTTTCAATACAGCAAGGTGAAATGCCCAGGACAGGCTGAACAGTAAGGACATGAAGTCATGAAATATAATTTACACTGTTGTTGTAGGGAGCTCTGGTGGCGTAGTGCCTAAGGCATGTGACTGCTAACCAGAAGGCTGGCGGTTCAAACCCATCAGCCACTCCTCGGAAGGAAGGCTGGGCAATCTACTTTCGTAGCGATACCACCTCGGAAAGCCAAGGAGGGGTCGCTATGAGTCAGGTCCAACTCCACGGCAGTGTGTGCTTGTTGTTCTTCATTGCTGTCACATGGCTCTGACTCACGTGACCTTACGTAAACAGAACGAAACAGTGCCTGGTCCTGCACCATCTTCATGATCGCTGGTGAGTTGGAGCCCATCGTTGCTGCTCTTGTGTCAATCCCTCTCATGGAGTCTTGTCCTTCGTTCTTGCCACCTCTCTACTTGACCAAACATGCTGTCCCCCTTCTAGTGATTGCTCTTCCTGCTCTCACCATCCTTGCTTCTAAGTTATACCAGCATCACTTACAGCAAATTTCTTTTAGAAAAGTCATAGCTTGAGTGTATTTGCATGTGCATTCGATAGTGACTCATTTAACTGGTGAACAAAGAGAGCTCACAGTGCCACCCAGTTGGCCCCGACTGGTGCATGGTCTCTATGAGAAGCTCGTGTGATTTCCACAGGCAGGACTTCTGAACTCAGGGTCATCCTTAGATGCCACGTGCACCAAGCTCTACTGTCCTCCTGACCTGAAGGTGTCATCTGGAGCAGCAGGGGGTACAGAGACCAGCGCCCTGTCAGGGAGAAGAACAGCCCTGCTTTCTATTTCTTGGCTTCACTTCTCCCTTTCAGGTGAGTGATGCCTAAACTCTACCTTAATGTTCTCATCTGTGACTAAGCTAAGAGCATCTGTCTTCCATCCTGACAGTCATCTAAAATTGCAATCTCAAATTTAGCCATCCCACTCACCTCTCTCTGTCTGCAATCTCTGTAGACAGTTTCTGGGATCCAATATTTCTGCAGCAACACCCAATTTTCTCACCCAGGGAGTCTCTGGGATTACCAGTCTCTCAGCTCCTGTAACTTCAGGGCATCCAATCAATCACAAAGACCTGGCATTGTTTGCTTTAAAACACCTCTTTAATTGCCTCCTTCCCCTTTTCATTCACTCTTCTGCCAACACAGCTCACCTTGAAACCAGAGGGTTCCTCTAACTTCCTACTCTTCCTGCCCCCCAACTCCTTTCACACATCATAGGCAGGTAAACTTTCAAATATTGCCTGGACATCCTGCCTCAACTGATTCTCATCGGGTGAATTCCACATTCTCACTCTGGTGATGATGACCCTTCACCCTAAACAATACCTGTTTATCCAACTTTAGCTCCCATTTTCACCCCATGGGAATTCTCCATTTCCGCCATGTGAATTTTCTCAGTAACGTTCAAAGGTACCGAGAACCTTCCTACTTGGCAATACATCTTTTTTTCGCATATTATGTTCCTATTTCTTTCCAAACCCTACCCATTTTAGGGCTTCCCCTTTTATTCCTTCCTACTTTTCAAAGTTCACATCATATCAACATCTTTAAGCATTTCATCATGACAGCTAGCCTTCATTGTTGTATTGTTTCTCTTTGATTACTTTTTTTCTTCTTCTTCTCGTTGTGATTTGGGTGAAAGTTTATAGAGGAAATTCACTTTCCATAGAGCAGTTCACACACACATTGTCTCATGACATTGACTACAATTTACCAAAATGCAACAGCTCCCCTCCCACTTCCTCCCAATAGTTAACCTCTTCCCTGTGTCTATCCCTCCATATACTCCTGCCCCTTGAACTGTCTCCCTGTGCATAAACAGCCCTTCTTTCTCCCATGATTGTTCTCTCCAAGGTACATGTTCAACTCCTATGCCTGTCTTTTGTTTGGCTAGAAGCCACAGGTGTGGGTTCAATTCCAGACCTGAAGGGCAGCTAGGAACCATAGTCTCAGGGATTCCACCAGGCTCTATCAGACCAACAAACCTGGTCCCCCCCTTTTTTTTTTTTCCTTTTCCCAAATGATTTTGAGTTTTGTTCCACATTGTTCTCCCTCTCTATCCAGGATCTCCTACATAGATCCCCCTCCGAGTGGTTGACAGTGGTA